TGCTTTTAAAGAACATGAAAAGTTGTTTCAAAAAAGGGAAAGGCAACATTTTTCAATCTAGTTTTTGTCACAACTAGATTGATGTTTATTTTCATGATGATAGATAGTGATTGTCTGGCAATTATCTAATGCATCCGAGCAGTACGATCTTTCAAGTGATTGCAGCTTACAATTAAGCATCTGTGAAAATACCTTTTGGGATTCTTGCTTTTAATTGTATTTGCTATAAATAGAAAACTAAACACCATTATTTTTTCATGAATTAACACTAATTTTTTCAACAATAATATATCGGAATATCATATTTGTTCATGAATTAGCAGAACATTTTTCAACCACTAAATGTTTTAAATATTTTATTTGTTCGTGAATTAGAAGTTTTTTCAATAATTAAATGTTCAGAAATATTATTTGTTTATAAATCAACCGAAGTTTTTCCAACTAGTAAACGTACTACAATCTTCATTGATTATGAATAATTACTACAATTGTTAACAATTAATTTTAAACTTATCTGATGCTCCAAATAGAGTATCTGATAAGTAGGGACTTTTATCAATAAATTCTAAATTTTTCAGATGTATCAATCGCAGTATCAAACAAGAACGAATTTCTCAACCTTACACGATAACGAAATAGTAACTTCTCTTTCTCATCTTTTAATTTCATAATATTTTTTCTACTTAATGAGATCTTTTAATATAATTTTAAACTAACTTATTCTGGTCAATTTGCATGCATTCTTTTACGCTTAGTAAATTCTAAAGTTTTTAGATGTTTTTTTTAATAATTCTGATTTTTTAAGTGAGTTATAAAATTGCATTTTAAATTTATGGGTTACGCTCTTGCAAAAGTTATCTTTTTTGTTAAAAATAGCGAAAAGAAGTTAAACTTGTTTTCATTTTAATACAAAAACAAGTGGAGATTTGTAGCTTTTTTTAATGTCAATTTTGTGCCCCATTGAAAATTTCTTTTTATTAAATGAAAAAAAAAATACTCACTATCCAAAATATACTTTGTATATAAATTGTTATACTTTCCTGAAATTATTCATGGAGAAATAAATTTTGACTTTTTAATTTTTCTAAAAAGAATTCTTTAAATATTTATAGATTACTTAATTTCAAAAATTTGTGAATTTACTTTAAGACATTAGAGTGAAAATCTATCCAACAATTTTGGTTAAAGTTTTAAAAAGTAATTTTTCTGAATATTTACGAAATACTTCAAACCGATATTTAAAAAATTTAAATTAAATACTAATTTAAAATAATTTTTATTTTTGATTCTAAGTCAAATTAGTTAGTCAAGAATTCCTAAAGTTCTTACCTTCTTAATGTAAGCTACAATTGTCTGAAATACATTTATATACAGATTTCACATGCACCAAACACACTAATATATATATTTACGTGCTGAATAGCTAATTTATTTTTAAAATAATTGCATGAAACACTGATGAAATACACACGCCCCAGAATTGTGCACCTCCTGGTGGTTTATGATTGATGTTATAAGAAATATATGGTACAAGTAATAAGTTACAATTTACAACGCTAGTTTTATTAAAATACGCCGAAAAAGTAATTGAAATAATAGAAATTTGAAACCTATATGCCGAAAGATTTATTAAACGTATATGCTTTAAGTCTTATAGTTGACTTTTTTTCCATGAATTGAAAAAGGACAGTTAAGGTGTTTCAATTCATATGCCTTAGGTTTTCCTTTTAAACCTTTAAACAAATAGCTGTTAAAAAAATTATTGGAAATTGCAAAAATCTGTTCGAGAAATAAAAAACATAACGAAAATTCTTCTCTAAAAAATAATTTTTAGCCAATAGCCGAACAATTAAAGTTGTATCCTATTATCAAACGGTGCAAATAGTTTTGTTATTGTTTAAATTTAATAACTCATACAATTCGTAATGTAGTGAAAAAAAACATTCCAACTTTATATGCCTGTATTATATATAGCGCAACAGTTTAATTACACTTACTTAAATATAAACACGTTTTAAAACTTCTTTACAAACAATGAACACACATCAACATTTTGTGATAGTTAAAGATATCGAAAAAAGTGTTAGTACAAATTAGCAGTAAAGGAATTAAGGGGTATATTTATTTAAAAACATAGAAAATCATACAAATATATTGAAAAATATATTAAATAATGATAAATTTCCTCAACATATCATTCTGCTACAGTTTTGATGATTTTTTTAAAAAAGAATTTATTTTAAAATTGTCCGAAGTAAAATCTTTCTTGGCAAACCACTTTTAAATTGGACATGATTTGAGAAAAGTCTACAGGGGGTAACACGATGGCAAAGTAATTTTTTATCTCCTTATACTTTTACCACAATAGATATTTTTGCGTCATAACAAGTAACAACAATCATTTTCTGCCAAGCTTTTTATCTCTCCTGTTCAAGATGCTGATAAAAAGAACATCAAAATCGTTTAAGAAAATTAATTCTTTGACTAGGAATTTATACCCCTCACTAACATATTTTTATTTGCAAACAATTTAGAATATTGAAAATAGCTTGACAGCTAAAATAATTTTTGAATACTAAACCAAATCTTTCTATGTATTATAAAAACGCTTTTTTTTAATTTACTAGATAATAATGAAAATGCAAAATTAATTTAACTAACTAACAAAAAACGTAGATTAATTTAATAATCTTCCATCAGTTATTAGTTGAATTAATGAGGATGTATAAAACAGTTAAAGTATAAAACATTTTAATTCGTTCAAACAAGATGTTAAAGAAACACGGGAGACGTAACAATGTTCTAAAGTGCAAGAATTACAATACAATTTAGTGTCAAAAGTGTTCAAAACATGGGACGATGCAAAAATGTCTGCATTTTGCTCGAAAATATGCTCATATAAAATGCTCAAAGTGTATACGACAGTAACATAGTCAAAATCTTACCTATATGATATCACAATCAGCATAGATGAGACTTATGAATTTGTTTTCAACATTAAAAACAGACGTTTTAAAGATTACACCGTTTCGGATTGTAATCCATTATAAGGCACTCTTTGTGTTTTCTTTCAACAGTTAGAATTTCATGCAGAAAAAAGATTCAAATGTTTTATTAGAATACGAAAATTTCTTTATACCAGAGTCAGAATTTATAGTTAGATTGGTTTTGAATCAAAGTATTATAAAAAAAAATATTGATTCAGAAAATTCTGATTGCCTGAAAAAAAAATTATACTTTTAAGTAAAAATTTCTCAGAGAGTTTTAAATCTTACTGACTTACGAAATACTGAAAATATAATTGATGTCTTTCAATTTATACTTAGAGATATTTGGCGTGTTAAGAATAGCCAATATCTCGAACTTTTTTTTCTCTTACTCACAAGCTAAGATAGATTGAGCATTGAGAGGTAACATAAAATGATATTACTTTAAGCGTGCTGTTAAAATGAAAGAAAAGACAGGCATTAACAAAATCTGTCCAGCAAACAATTTTAAAAAAATTTTAAAAAAATTTTTTGATTTGTACATCAAATTTTCAAAAATTTAGGATCATGCTAACGTTTTTACATAGCAAATAAGTTTTAAAATTTACAATTGAAAGTAAGTCCTTTCATTTTATTTTTTAGTAATAATTAAAAAAAATTGATGAAAATGTTTGATGATAATAACTTTTAATATAATACCAAAAATAATTAATGCACGTTCTGATATAAATGATATTTGTATTTTAATTCAAGAGAAAATTAAAGCTTTCATAGTTTGATTTAAACAAAACTAACAAATTGCTAAAGATAGCAAATGCGTTCACTAAAAATCTTTAAAATGATTTTTTTTTGAACGATTTTTTTTTGAAATCAAATTTTTTCAGATTTCATTTAAATTCGATAAAATACGTATGGTGTTTATAAGTTAAAGAAAATTGCATACATCAAGTTATTTTACAAACACAAACATACATAGAGTACTAAATGCTATTTTATTTAGCGTTATTTAAAGAGGGTATAAATCTTTATAGGATATGTCTTTATAGGATATAAAGAATTATCGTAGGCAATAGGATATATTCATGATATGATGTGTAAAACTGTTAAAATATATTCTGAAAAACAAATGCAGCTTCGAAAATATTTTATAAGGATTTATAAGTAGATCATATTGTTTCTAATTAATGTTAATACAACGTACCTAAATAACAGTTTATTAATTTTGAAGCAATTGTTGATTAAAATATTTTTATCAACTTAAGGAAATAATTAATACATAATAAGGAATTCTTCAACAACTATTTTAAATAAGTTTGATGATTCTATTAGCTTTGAAGAAGGTGTCTTTAATGTACAAATGTTTTTGTAGTTTTAGGAGCTTAATTACTCTCTGCCAATCACGAGATAAGCTCTCGATCTCACTAAAAGCAATCTGATTGAGAGCTCATCTTATGACTCTTAGACTGTAGATTATCTGAAATATGAGTTACGTGGAGAAAAAATTAAACGATAAGCATATTAATTTTAAAAAAAGAATAATTTTTTGTTGTTGTGTGAAATAAGGTTCAATGTTCCAAATTATTGTTTTTTAGCACATCTCTTCAACATAATAAGTAATTGAGGATGTTCACTCATATTGATAATATACGATATAAAATATTTGCTAAACTATTATGTGTTTTAAAATATTCAATTTATACACTTTAAAAAAGGTACTCCAGATGTTTTTATTATAGATCAATCACAATAAACAATTTTGTTATTCATTTAGTTGATTCCTTTTTGCGCATTTAAGGAAAATTTGACAATAAAATTTTTTGTTCCACAGATAAGACCAAAAGAAAAATATTTTTTTCCAATAATATCTTGAAAACAGTGATTTCGATTATTAAACAAAACAAATCATAATGATCCATTTCATTTATAGAAAAATTTAGTCATTTTATAATATTTCTTATGAATTTTGGTTAAAAAAACTAATAGATTAAAAGAAATGAATTCGTTACTCAATGACTTTATTACAAAATTTTTCCACACGTATCGGATTTTCACGAAAATGGTTTATCCACACACAATATACAAATAAATATAAGTACAAGAACTGAAAGAATTTTTTTGTTTGAATGAAGACACTTCAAAATGGAGTAAAAACGCTGAATTCTTGCAATGCATTACACAGTAAGCAGACAATATAGAACAGTTCAACAGTGTTCAAAATTAACAAATGCATGTTAAAACGAATTCATTTGAAATGAACACAAAACATATTATTTAAATTAAGATTAAGGGGATGTTCATTGCTTTGTATTAGTTTGTAAACAAAAATAAAAAAAATGCAAAATATAAAAATATACTTAAATTATCGAACTTAGTATACAGCGAATATAATTTGTCTTTTTTCTACTCCTAGCAAAAAGCAAGGAGAGGAAAATGTTTTCCCATCTTCATAAACTGGATAATATCTGAAAAAAATTAAAATAAAACAAATTCCATTTAGAGTGTTTATAAAAATATAGATAAATGTGAAATTAAATACGTATTAATTTGCAATCAATTTTTAAAATTTTTTCTTAAATTCATTAGGATAAGTAAGAGTAATTGAAACTTTTTTAATGGCCATTTCAGGACAAATATAAAAATTATAAAATAAGCTTTTAAATTTAAATAAGATAAGTTAAATACATTATATCAAGCATTTTGAAAGAAATAAGATTAGCTAATTTATTAAAGATGTTATGCAAAATTTATTAAAGATGTTTAAAAAATAATTTAAAAGAAATAATTTCTTTACGATATCCTTTAAATTTCTTTATTAATTTCTTCATGATTTTCCTTATGAATTTACTTTCAGGTGTGAAAACTTTATTAAACGAAAATATTAAATATATATGCATTTTTTGAAGAATTATAGTAATATTAAAATGAATGTGCGTAAATTGCTATAAGGACATAAGTAAAGTTCAATAAAATTTACACTTGAGTAACTGACGAAATATTGTTTCCTTATTAAAGTTAGTTAATTCATTAAAATATATGTAAAACCTATGGTAAAAGGAATGAGTTGAAGCAAGAAATTTCTTATTGATAAATAAATTGTAATTCGGATCTGTGCAAAGTTTATTAAAAGAATATATTAAATTCATAAATAATTTATTTTAAGAACTGTAGTAGTATTAATGAGAATGTAAGTACATTTCTGCAAGGATGTAAGTAAGGTTCACTTAAAATTTGCAACTTGGTTACTAATGCAATATTGATCCTAAACTAATGCTTTATTTCGTATGCAATATTTGAGTAAAAATATATAGCCAGCACTCAAAACCGTTAATATTAATTAAACAACATTCGTCTTACGCATTATAATTTTAAACGTAACCTCTGTAAGATAATTTGAAATCTTATTTCTGTAATTTTAAATGCGCCAACAGAGGCTTAAGAATTAAAATAATACATTAATGGTAGCAGCAACCACAGTCGTATAAAAAAACAGTGCAAAACATGCTCATTCCGCAATAAAACCCATTGATGCATTGGAATAAATTAGTTCTTTTATTTAAAATCAATAAATTTTAAGACCAGTCTTCAAAATCTTTAATTTTCAAGAATTTGTTTTTAAAATGTTTTCTCTCAATCATTCGAAGAAACAAAGCCAAAGATAAAAAGTTGTTAAATATATTAGTTTCAATTCTACTAACACAATGTTCTCTATTTAGATATTATTACCGTACTTGCAAGTGTTAAGAGAAAGTTCAAAACAGTAAATTCCGTTGATCTGATATTTAAATAATCCTAAATAGTTTAATAAGTCTTGCTTCTAAAACTCTAACACTTTATACACAGATAATATTGTAATTTTTAATTACAATATTATCTGTGTAGGTATCTGTGTATCTCTAAAGTAGTTAAATGTTTGCAACAAAAGGTGATACAAAGTCACAATGTAATTTTCCACAATTCATTTTCAGTTCCATTATAGTTTGTACGTGATGTATCAAAATACAACATGAGAAATGAGTAATCAATTAAAAATCTCAATTAGATAGTTTCTGAAAATGACTAACTCAAACAAGAAAAAGGTTTAATTTTAAGGGTGTGGCTTAATTGTAGGTTTCGGAACCAGTATTTAACCGCCGTGAAATATTTGTTGAAATTTGCTTTACTCGTAATACTTTCTAACAACCTATTGATTATACTAGGAATTATCTTATTGTGCCGTATTAGATATTGATTGAAATGATAACTGCATTTAATTTTTTTTTAAATTTTTGGTTTAAATCTTTATTTATCAACAATTTATAAACTGAGTTATTTTAAGGATTACAATCTGAGCAAAATTTCCGTTATAGGAAAGTCGTGAGTTTGTCAGTGGTTAAAAATTTAATGTATTTTGCTTATCTTTATATGTAAATGAAATTTATTGTGCAGCTTTGCATATTATCTATTTTATTAATTATCTATCTTATCTTTATCTATCTACTTAACACACTTTTAGTGTGTTAAGTAGCGATTGAGCATTTAGTGTTTTTACGTATCACTAATTTTTAATGAAAGTAAATTAATCCAGAATCGTTTTTCCTCAGTCATCTGTCATACATAACTTCGCTTTATAATAAATTAGCTTTACCATTTAAAAAAAAGTTAGCAGTGATTATTTTTATGCATCAGCCGTGTGGAATTGCTTTTTCTTGCAGCATGCAGTTTTTTTTCTGTAAAAAGTGAGTTCACCCATAACCAGTGAATTAGCATTGATTGTTTTAATATACCACATTATTAGGAACAGTCTTTAAATTTTGACACTTAGTTCTCTTTTATAATGAAGAGGAAATTTACGCTTTACTAGTGAGTTAGCATTGATCAACACACACATCAATTGCTTGGGATTGCTTTAACCTGCACTATACAATTACTATCTTTAGTTAGGGGTGAGTTTATCACCTACCAGGGAGTTAAGATTGATACTATCGTCGATAAAGTGTATTTTGATGTAAAAGTTTTAAAGTTTTGGTTACACTGTAAAGAAAACTTATGTAAAAATTCTGTGAGAAATACAAGATTCACTGTTAAATTAGCTAAGTTCTTGTTCAAACTCATATAACCGAGGTTCTCGTTAAAAGTTACGGAAAATGCCGGTACTTCTCTGAGCATTTCACTAAAAGGTACTTTTGTTAAGATATTTAAAAGTATTGTTATATATTTGATAATTATAAAATAGTCCATTTGGTGTGGTAAGTAGAATCTTTGCCTAAAGAGCAGAAGTTTTTATTACTTGAGTTTGGGTAATAATGAAATGCTTAAGTTTATCCAAGTTTTTTGCCCACCACTTATTTTTTTAAAAAAAGAAAGTTAATTCTAGTGCCATAACTTACTTTCAGTTGACTCCATTCTGCTGTATACAATTTCCATTTTGGGTAAGGAGTGAATTTACCATTTGACAATTGACTTCACCCATCTTGTTCTTTGCGTATTCTATTCGGATGCCTCCCCTGTCGGAAGAAAATAGCACATAGCCTTGTAGAGCTTGCAATGCATGCGTGGCCAGGCGAATATCCTGAAAGAATGATAGGTTTTAGTAAAATATCCTCAGTGGTAGAAGAATCATAGGTTAAAATCCTCTTGTTGCCAATTTACTCGAGGGAAGTTTTCTTGCTTTTCCCCTCCTTGTAAAGAAAATGCGGGTTAATTTCATAAAAATATCTTCCACAAATGCTAGTTTGTCCTAATGCTCGATTCAAGAGTTCCCTTGTCTTTTGGGTTGGGTTCAAAATTATAAGGCTACAGAGGTGAACGATGATAGTTGCAACTCAGAATTGTATCTGATGTTCAACGCCGGTTATAAAATAAAATAAAGTAAAAATTTTTATTTGTTCTGTATATTGTTCTGTATAAGAGAATATGTGTAATTCGTATTAGTTGATATTTCAATTTTATTTTACCCTTGACTTTAACTTATTCAAATTTAACTTCATTTGTTTAAGTACATTTTTTTTAAAAAAACTATAGAATAAATTAAAGGAGAATAATTTAAATAATGCATATTTTATAAAACAACTTTTCAACACTTACTTGGTATTCCACAAAAGCCACCGGAGCACCGCCTTTGTTATGCATACGTAGGCGACAAAAACCCGGAAAACTGGAAATATACATGAAATAAGATATTTTTAGCAATATATTCCTTTACAGATTAAATTAAAAATTTCAAACTTTTATTTCATACAATATTAGAGAAGATTAAATTTAATATCATTTTCTGAGCAATAATAATGTTAAATACGAGGCGTGTTTTATAAGGGCCGTTTGAGCATAAAAACCAAACCAATTTTTTTTTTCTAGAATCACATTTATTTTCAGATTCTACATACGTTTCTCTTTTTCTTCAACATAGTTGCCAAGTGTGTTTAAACACTTATCATACCTTACAACTAGATTCAGAATACCCTCTTCATAGAAACTTGCCACCAGCTCCTTTAATCAAGAAGTCACGGCCGTTTTCACGTCTTCGTCATCGTTGTAGTGGTTGCCACCAAAGTGATATTTGAAATATCGAAAACAAATCACTCAGCGCAAGGTCTGGACTGAAGGGAGGGGTGGTTCAAAACTTCCCAGCCAAAAGAGTTCAATAAAGATCGGAGCTAAGCTGTAGAGAGAGTCATTGTCAAGAGGTAGTGAGATTCCCTGTCAACGTGACAGTACGCAGCTTCGTATGTATGAATGCCGGTGAATATATGCATATCTCTGACCGTACCTCGAACTGGGGGCAGGCAATTTGCTAAACTTGACCATTTTAAAGACACAAAAATGACCATACAGCTGCAACTGAGCACAGTTGTTCCCGAGGAATACCGAGACAGACGCAAGTACTCGTTGCGTTGCAAGCGTCACCTATTAGTGTACAAAACGAAACATACTCCTCGTAATTAACGAAAGAATCTATTTCAAAATATCTAAATCTAATTTTGAAAAAAAGTTCTTAATTGAAACTCTATTTTGAACATATAATACAAAATTAAGCACGAAACAAAATATTTGCGTCATACAATAAACTTAGTAAGAAATAAAACTTCAAGTAAGTGCCAAATATAGTCACAGCAGTTTAATATCTAAAATTTAAAATAAAATTATTTTGCTGAAAATTTATAATTAAATTCAAATAATATATTTATAATTGATTTAAAGTAATTAATTTCTGCTACTTATTTATTTTATAATAATTTCTGTTCTTTAGTAATAATTAGCAAAAAATCTGCTATGCCATTAAAAGGAATTATTCTTTGCCAATCTAATCATCATTTTTATTTTTAGTTAGTAAGATGCAAAGATAAGACGTTGTCTGTTTTATACGTCAATTAGTGGGTTTTAAAATTTTGAAGGACTAATTATAAATGTTGTTTAAAATCTTGGATCCTTAAAGGTAATTCAGAAAAAGTTGTCTCAACAAAAGATTTTAATATTATATTTAGGGAATTAAATTACACTAATTAGATCAAAATGTGATTTTTTTATTAAAATTTCAAAAAAGTAAGTTAATTGGCGTCTTTCAAAATCGTCGAATTTAGTAATAAATACGACAAGATGAATGAAAATAATTTTAATGAGAAATAATCTTTAAACTGGAAAAATGATATCTAATTAAAGTTTCAAACACCTTTGTTCCTTTGAAAAAAGTTTATTTATAAATGCAATTAAGATGAATATTCATAGATAAGTGTGTATAGAACTTGCATTTAAAGTAGAATAAAAAAAGTATTTATTTTAAATTAATATTTAAGATGATTATGCTTTGATATTATAAACTTGATGAGAAATTGCGAACAATTATTGGTTAATATATTTCGCCTTTATTGATGGAAAAGTGTACTTTATAGATATGTGCTTCTACTTTCCTCTCAAACGAAGTGATTTATTATTACTTTAACCTTAGCAGATTTCAAATTGAACCATTCTCCGATTAAATTTGAACTATATCAAATAATTTAGTTTAAGATAGATTAATTTGCTGCCTAATATTATTCAACTTTTGGAAGAATAAGGATATTAGCTATTATAATAGTTCAGTACTGATAAACTTTTTTATCTGAGCAAACCTTTTTGCTAAACTTTTTTATCAGAATTAAGAGGACACCATACCATGAGAGACACTTTTCATTGCGAATTCTCTTATAACCGTCATAAGTAATTTAAAATTTAAAATATGTTGTTACTAATAGCACTTCCCAATACTAGAAAGCCTGCTATGGGAATCCTAGAGAATTTTTAAGGCAAAGGATACGTTTCTTTTTCTTCAGTGGTGCCATCTACGGCCAAAAATATTACTTCAGCCACATACATGTCACTACCTGTTTTACAGGGAGGACCCATTTATACCCTATTCATTCATCCACAGATTGTTAATTTCCACCTGAACTGGAGAACGATCAGTTTCCAATTCAGTACCCTCAGAGTTATTGATTTGTTATGGGAACTTGAAGGACTTTGTGACCCCGGCAGATTTAATGTGCACCAGTCACAATTTGACACACAGAGATTCTTCGGCTGGTGGGATTCGAACCCACAATCTAACGAACGCGAGTCTCAGGTCTTACCAACCAGGCTCCTCCCAAAAAAGAAAAGTGAAAAAGTGAGTTCAAGCAAACCTAGAGCAAGCCATGAAGCTTATACTACTGAAAAGAAAATTTTAAATTATGAAAATGAAGACAATTATGAAAGGATAACTTAGGATTATTCAATGAGGAAGTTCTTTTCCAATAATTTGTTAGCATTTTGATATTTCCAATTTTTTTTTCAGCAATTGAAAATCCATGACTTACTCTAGGTTTGTCTAAACTTATTTTTTTATATACTTTAAATTTCAAAATAGCTATGGGGCGAAAAAGAATTTGCGATGAAAAGTTTCTCCCAATATATAACTTGGCGATAAGATACAAACTCTTAAGATTACTTCCACTATCATTTCTCACTTAACAGAGTGTTGCATTTTATTTCAAAAGTTTAGTGTTCAGTTCAACTGCTGGCACTCTAATACGTACTTTGGTACTTCACACAATCCCCATCACCCAGCCTATGCTGCAGATTGCCCAAGCTACAAGACTGCACTCTCCGCACTTCGATCAAATTTTAATCCACATTAACTTATCCTCCTGTGCGATTTTTGCACACAGAGATCTGTATCGATTCAAAATTCTACGCCTCCACCCCGGCAGTTTCAGTGACTCCTACATTCTTATAGTCAGTGATTACTTCAAAACTTTAATTTATTCTTCTTGAATTCACAAACTTTCAGTTGAACTCACAATTCTCCATGAGAAATGCTCAAAACTCTCTTATTCACAAACTCTAGTTGAATTGATCCCCTTAATTAGAAACTCTAATAACTCCTTTTCTTTTCTTCTAAGAGATTCAATTACCTTTTTTTTCAAGCATTTCGAAATTCCTATTTTACAGCCTCTTAGAAAGCGCTTCATACCATGCATGTAGCAACTCTGATCTTTTCACCTTTCAATGTTACTTATCCATTAAGTTTTTAATTACTGTCATCTATTGTAACTTTCTTCGAAATTTTGTTTTTCATTTACACTTTCATTATTCGTTTTTTTTCCACTAATGTGATGCACCTATGTATTATGTGAGCTAGACCTGTGGCCATACGTGGACTATACGGTTAAGGGTTTTGCAAACCTAGGTACGTGTCCACGTCTGGAAGAAAATAAAAAAAAAGTGTTCAGTTATGCACATTAATGCGTTCTCTAATGTGGAGGTGTTTCAGTATTTCCGGAAATTTAAAAATAAAGATTAAGATCGGTGGTTATGGAGATCACAGTGTAATTTAATTAGCATTCAGTTTTAAAAAAGAAGGATGGAGTCCTTACCTTCCAAAAAGGTCTTTGAGTTCCTGTTCAGACACAAATTGTCCGAGGTTGGCGACAAATAGAGTAGAGCACGGCAGTGTGCCAGATGCTGATGACGTAGAACCGACCGGACTTGCTAATGCTGGACTGGCTACAAGGTGGGGCGGTGGGAGGGTTGCATGAATGGCCGCGCTGCCAGCCAAAGCAGCATGAGACAATGGATGGGACATTGTCAAGGGTGGCTAAAAATAAGGCGGTAATTTAAATTAAACTACATAAAAAAGTCAATCTATAATATCAAGCAGAATTTTATAAAAAAATATTAAAGTCATTTCATTTTTGTCATCGTAAATAATTATTTCGTGCATAACAATACTGAAAAATCGATCTAAGAATTATAGGTATTCTGCTCAACGCAAATTTGAACAACAAACAATATCATATTTCTGCCTCTTTCTTCTGCTCTTTAATTTCAAGAAAAGTGTTTTTTATTAAAAGAAAGTTTGTTGCTGTTGTTTTAGTCACAGCTTTAATTTTTTTTAACCAAAAGTTTCGAGGTGCACAAAATTTGAACTGCACAGATTATGAAATGTTGATCACTAGTTTAAATGTTCATGGATTATTGAAACAACGGAATGAAAATTGTCCTTATCTTTCTGCAAGAAGCTTTTCCTGTTTTACAAATAAACTTTATTTCTAGTTTGCCAGAACAATTAAGGCACATGAGAATACCTATAATAATATGTTTCGCAATGCACTTTCATATATTTTGATAAGTGCAACTCATTATAAGGCTAGATATACAAGAACTTCTGAATGAAGATATGTGGATACAAACTCCACACAGAAGGAGCGGGTTCAACTAGTCTAACTTGTACCATATACTTTGCGATAGGTAGGAATCACGGACAATCGTGCATATAAGGCTACGTACAGAAGAAATACTTCATAGAGAGTCTTGGATACTTCAGTTGTTATAAAATGTAGCTTTATATAGATATTTTATCAAAGTACAGTAGTTGGCAATATCTCTGTGAAAGTACTAAAAATCCCTATGGTGCTCATTATAAATCATCCCTTAAAACAAACTCCTATCCGACCATTTTAACTGAGATTTATGATACTAACCGTCCAATAGAAGAGGCCAAGAATGTTCCTCATAATCTTTCCCCGGATGACTTTGTCATCCAACAAAATAAATACAACTATCAAAATAAAAATCCAGATCCCCCCTTCAACCGCAATGAACTTCAACGTCTTCTTAAAACACTAAACAACAAAAAAGCACTAGGCATAGATGGCATTGATTATATAGTTGCAAAAAACTTATTCATATTTTTCGGTCCACTGATCCTAAATTTTTTTAACAAATGCCTCAACCTAGAAGTCTTCCTTGACCATTTCAAGAAAGGACAAGTTTTACTTTTTCTTAAAAAAAGGCAAACATCCCAATGTTTTAATTTCATATCGTCCTATATCACTACTTTTTTGCTTGGGAAAATTCCTAGAGAAATTAATCATTGAAAGACTAACTTTTCAATTAGAGAAACTCAATGCACTGTCTGATTTACAATACGGTTTTAGATTTGGTAAATCGGTCAATATAGCACTAGAAAATTTCAAAGATGACCTATCACATTTAAAAAATAATCACAAACACATCGCCGCAATCTCGCTCAACATCAAAGGGGCATTTGACAATATCCAGTATGATCTAATTAATAGAGAATTATCAATGTACAAAGTCCCATCCAATCTTTTTCTTTGTAATAGAAAGCATCAATACGAGCAGGCAAGCCATCTTATCAACAAATCAGGGATATGTAACAAAAACAATTTAAAAAGGCTGTCCCTATGGGCCTTGCATAGGACCGACTGCGTGGAATTCAGTAATTAATAACCCTTTGAAAACTCAGTTTGATTAATCCATCATACAAGTCTTTGCAGACGACTTGATAATTCTTACTTATGCCAACTCTAGGAGGCAATTAGAACAAGTATCGAATCTAAATGTAAATCGTATTCACAATTGACTCACCAACAATTCTTTAACTCTTTCAACTGATAAAACAGCCTATATTCATTTTTACAACACTAAAAGGAGAACAGTTTTCAAAATTAACAATGAAAAAATTAAGCAAACAAATCATTTTAGGTACCTTGGAATTGTAATCGAAAAAAAATTGAGTTGAGCTCCTCATGTCAATATCCTAAAAGAAAAAGCAAACACTATTCTCAATTTTCTTTACAAAATCAATAATAAATCTTGGGGAATAAATCAAAAATCAAGAAAACTCATTTATAACACAGTAATAGCCCCTTCAAATACCCCTTTGATGTCAAGCGAGATTGCGGCCACGTGATTGTGATTATTTTTTAAATGTGATAGGTTATCTTTGAAATTTTCTAGTGCTATATTGACCGATTTACCAAATCTGATACCGTATTGTAAATCAGACAGTGTGTTGAGTTTCTCTAAATGAAAAGTTAGTCTCTTAATGATTAATTTCTCTAGGAATTTTCCCAAGCAAGGAAGTTGCGATGTATTACAATATTTGGGCAAGAAACAACTCACCTCGGATATCTAGAACCTCACTTTCGATTCAACGCAAATTCCTTTTAAATATGACCAGGGCATACCACTCTACCCCACCGAAGCTCCTCATGTTTTAGCAAATATTCCCCCTCTTCCAGACCAGATTATGCTCTTGTCATGTACAACAACATTAACTCAAATAAAAAAAAATGCAATCTTCAATCAGATAAGTTATAATCATCAGGATTATGAAAATAAATTAAAAGTGCCAATTTATCACCCATCTTATTATATTAAAAACAAAATCACTTTAACTGAACAAGGTAACTATGACTTCAGAAAAGATACTAACTTATTCACAGACTGTTTCAAAACTAAAACAGGCATTGCATTCGCATTTCTTAATAACGCTCATTCACAAACTTTCACATTGGATATTAACAATTCTATTTTTTCAGGACGAACAATTGGCAATATTAGAATGTGTTAAACACATCAAAAATAACTCAAACTTTAACAGAAAAATAAAATACATAATCTGGTCAGATTCTAAAGCCTCAATAACATCAATTAAGATCAATCAGGATCAACCAACCTCATAACCAAAGACATTCAACATGCACTGGTGGACACTGCTATTCAAATCTCTTGGATTAAAGCGCATAACAATAGAGAAGGTAATGAGAGAGTGGACGAATTGGTCACAAAAGCAACACAAAACATTAAAAATTATGCCTTTCCTCTCCCTGTTTCGCATCTAAAACAATCTCTTAAAAAATCATTATCGAGTAATTGGCAAAACCAATGGACTAATACCGATAGAAGACGACGCCTGTATAACATCATCAATAATGTCAACTTCTTCAAATCAATTCCAATATGACAAGTCATCTGGTTCCTAACAGGTCACGGACCTTTTCCTTCTTTCTTTCATTACCTGCATATCTCGGATACAGACTTTTGTACCTGTGGTCAACCAGGTACACCAGAGCAATACTTATCAACTTGTCTTTACGCAATATCATGGCATGCACGCCTTCCAAACATTAATAATTTATTTTTTTGGCAAAAGAAATTTCTTACAAATAAAACATTCAACACTAAATTAATTAACGTAATGAATTTTATAGATGAAAACGACTCCTTATTAAAATTTTAATCAAATCTTACTTCTTAAGTAGTCTTTGAAATTATTTATAATGTCTAGGCAGAAACAAATTGCTTACGGGCTTTAAGTTTATTTTCTTTTTCTTTTTATACTTCTCTTTTTAATTTTGTTATGTTACAATTTCTGATTTTTTTTTCAATTCAACTTCTTGGTTACTTGCATGTATACAATTTCTTAAGAGACGTTCATAGCTGTATATATTCTCAAATACTCTTTTAGAGTCAACTATGTCATATACTAACAATCTCAACTCGCACAATATTTGTAAAATCTCGTGCTGTAGCCAAGCTTTGGGCTATATGGTGAAGGGTCCATAACGACCAAAGCTTGTCCAAACATGCAGTAGGTACATGTCCAAAGCTTGGAGAAAAGAAAGAAAAGATATTATATCAGTCTTACCGGCAGTTGTGCATGTAAGGCTGGATGCATAAGAGCTGCTGTATGGAGAGCCGTTGATACGGGCACTTCTGCGTAAGACAAGGAGAGATGGGGCCATCCTTCATGGGTCGCCGGCAAGAGCGCGGCTCCGATTTCTGCTAAGGAGGCAAAATCAAGCATTGAACGTCATTATACAGGGATTTACACCTTATAATGTACACATAAATTAAACCAGCCAATGACTGAAGACTATACATAAATTAAACTAGTCAATGACAGAAGTCTATATACAAATTAAATTAGTCAATGTGATTGAAGTCTATACATAAATTAAATTAGTCAATGTGATTGAAGTCTATACATAAACTAGACTAGTAAATGGCTGAGGCCTAAAGATAAATTAAACTAGTCAATAAAGTCTATATACAAATTAAACTAGTCAATGACTGAGGTCCATACATACATTAAACTAGTCTCAATGAAGTCTATACATAAATTAAACTGGTCAATGACTGAAGTCTATACATACATTAAACTAGCCAATTACTGACACACATATTTGAATTCATAAACAGAATTTAGACATGTGTAAATGCCATATGTCAATAGAATAAATCAGTATCTTTGCAATCCAATGTCATTTTGCAATGCGCCTACAAAGCTCACTGCAATAAACTTGACAAATGACATCAGCCGTTTGCGAAAATCCGGATTTGCCAATTAACCTACGATATATGCATTAAGTTAATACACGTACATAAAATATGTCATCTAGAAGCATACATAAACTTGTATATGAAAAAGAAAAACAAATACAAAAATTACATTAGTAATAAAAAATGAATTTTTAAAACTTTTATTTCGTAATATTAGGCGATATTGTTACAAGAATATAAGATTATGAGAGCGTCATTCAGTATATTATATAACCATTATATAGACAAATTTGTGGCATGTTTTGTTTTATTCACAATTTGTTTTGAGGTCAAAGTAAAATAAATCTATAAAAATTGCTTAAAAAATTAAGAATCTTATTATTTTTGTTTCGCTATTTTAGTTATATCTTTAACATTTTATTCATACTGTGAAATTCAATTAAGTTAGTATAATAAATGCATATGAAATACAAGTGAAATAGAATGCATTGTAAATAAAACACATGAAAAAAAATTCTAAAACAATATTTCAAGCATACGTGGATTTAGTTTTTGCTTATTTATATACAATAGTTATTGTCTAAAAATTTGTAAACGTTCCAGAGCATTCACGTTCAAAAGTATAGTAGCGTATTAAACATAACTATGTTTTGGATATCTTTAAAAAGGTAAACAATTAGAAGTCACCATAAATTTTTTGCTAGTAATACAGATTTAGAACCGGTACTGTTAGAATTTTCATTCTAATATTATGGTAAAATAAATGGCAGGAGTCTGTCCATCCAATTAACCGTAAAATTTATGGTAATGAATATATTTTGCCTTTACGGTTTTGAACCCGTTTGCAACTAGTATGGTAAAAAAATCATTAATACAAAATTATGCAGATTTTGTTAACCATTTACAACTAACATGGTTCCAAAACCATAAAAAAGAAATTTAACTCGAATTGGAGATAGTTTAGGAGCTTTATAGTGCTGCTATCTATGCGTTAATGAGACTATCATATTCTTATGGTCTAGAGGGAAAAATTAGGGAGTGCAGGACACGGGAAACTCTTCTTGTGTTGAAAGGAATGGAGGAAACATTGTGGTATCAACTCTGGGACTCGTACCCCCGTTCCATTGGTCACGAGATTAACAGATTAATCCTCTCGGCTATAATATGTACCCAGCTGCAACGAATTAAGCAGCTTCATAAGGTGGCAATAAAATTCTGGTTGTTTAGCCGTATTAGGTGAAAACAGTTAAAAAACAGTTTTCCTCACAGTTAACAGTTTGAATACCATCTTATTTATGGTTATTTGACTGTTTGTTTGCATATGGTAATCTAACAATTAAATAAATTGCTATTTAACCATTTTATCGGAGAAATTTTTAACAGTTACACATATTTAGATCATTTTTAAACAATTTGAAATTTCTTCCCCGAAATTCACAAGCTAAGATGATTTGAAGTAGTTTAAAAACGTTTAAATCCCGATTAAGACCATAAAGCACAAAAGCTTAAAGACACAGAATCAAAGGAAATGGTGTAAAATTTAATGTTAAACATCAAAGAGGAGTAATTTAATTTCATTCATGAAAGAGCTGGGAAGAAAAGGAAACCGGAATTTAAAATTCAACCCAATCCCTTCTGTACATTTCCCGTGAATTTGTGAGTAAAGCGTGCACGTTATTTTAAATTCCAAATCTTTTTGCAAAAAACTGACGAGGCATTTTGAATCAAAGCACGTTCAACGCGTTTAATCGCTCGAACAACTCCCCTTTTGCCCCTGAATTAAAATGCTTGAAATTTAGATTCACTGTTATGGTTTCATCACAACGCAGCACTCTCTATTATCAACAAAGAAGAAATAATCGTGAACAATTTTGTAGGAACAATTAATAATGCATTAACATGCTTTTTTAATGCCTAATAAAAATCGTGGTATTTTCTAACAAGTTTCTATTGGTGTGGAAAATGATTAAATAATCTTTACGAATCATTTTGATTTTTTTGCATACAAATGTATTATAATATGAAATAAGACAGCATGACATATAAATGATTTCTATAAGATATTCTTATTATTATAAGCTATTCTTTCTATAAGTAATTTTTTCAATCTTATTTCTTTTCTAAGATAATAACGCGTGATAAGTTTTATATACAGATGCTTTCTAGTATGGGATAAGAACTCGCGAACATTTGGAGAACTGAGGTTTTCTATTCTAAGATAAGAATGTGTGAAACGTATTAGTATACAAATGCTTTCTTACATCGGATAAGAAATAGAGAAATTTTTTAAAAAATGATGTTTTCTATTCTAGTATAAGAACACGGGAAAAATGTTTGTATAGAAATGCTTTCTTGATTAGGATAAGAACACTCGAAATTTTCGAATATTGATGTTTTCTATTGACGAAAAACATTTATTATACATGTGCTTTATAGCATAAAGAGAAAAACGTGAGCTTTTTTAAATAGAGATAATATTCGTGAATAATAATAGAGAAGAATATAATAGAGAAAAATGATAACTAAGAAGGCTAACAGAAAGCAAGAATAATAATAATAGAAAAAGATAACAGAGATATAACCAGTGCAAATATTTTGGATTAAAGCATTAAATAAGAGTGCGTGAACTTTTTTTTTATATAATTGTTTTTACTTCTAAGGTAAGAGCAGGTGAAAAGTATTAGTATACCTTGTTTTTTATAATATAATAATTGAGAGTAATTGTAATAACAACACAGACTAATGAGAATAATAGAGATAGCGACCAGAAAAAATATTTGCTTTTTACCATAAGATAAGAATGTCTGAACTTTTTCTAGTTTAAATGCTTTCTCTCTTAAGATAAGATAAAGTGAAGAGTTTTTTTTCCCTGCAAATGTCTTCCAGCATAGGATAAAACACGTGAACATTCGAATAGAGATAAAAATAGATACATCAATGTAAAATAATAATAATAAACGATAATAATAAGATTAACAGACTTAAAGCTTGCATTTTTTCTTCTGCTTTCTAGCGTAAGATTGAAGGGCGTCAACGCTCTGGAATATAAATGCTATCTTATTTAAGATAAGAGAACGTGAAAAGTTTTTTAATACGGATGCTTTCTAGCATGGAATAAGAACATGCTAACATTTTCAAACACTGATGCTATCTATTCTAAGATAAAAACATTGGAAAAATGCTTGTACGCAATTTTTTTTCTAGCAAAATATAAGAACTTGTAATGTTAAGATAAAATAAGAACTTGATAGATAGGATAAAATGTTAATGTTTTCAATTCTAAGATAAGAATGCACATAAAATAATGTACACAAATGATTTCTTATTTTGGATAAAAACATATGAATTTTCTGAATATTGATGCTTTTTATAAGAATGTGTGAAAAATATTTGTAACAAATGCTAATAACAAGTGCTTTCTTGCTTAGTGTAAAAACACATGAAGTTTCAGAATATTAATACTCTCTATTATAAGATAAGAGCGCGTGAAGAACATTTGTTTGCAAATGCTTTTGCAAGGGATGAAAACGCATGAAGTTTCGGAATATTGCTGGTTTCTATTGTATTGGAGAGAGAAAGCATGAGAAAAGGTTTGTGTATACAAATACAAACGCTTTCTTGTATAAGATAAAAAGCACGCAATTTTTTAGGTTGTTACTTTAAGAATTTTTTATGTGACTTCAAAATTTTTTTAATGATCCTAAAAAAATTTAAAAGTAAAAGAGAAAATTTGTTTCAGTGCAATGCATACTCTCATTAAGCTTTATATTTATAGAAAATAGATCAGGAACCAAAATTTTACAATATTTAGCACTAATAAATTAGGAAATATTTTAATCTTTATCACAGATTATTTATAAAATATTGCGAAAAGTTTATAAATTAATTACGGAGGCAAACAAATTTTTTTTTAAGTAAATGAACTTTTTGTGATAGATTTAAAAATTGCCTAAATATATGCGGGAGAATATATTATAATAATATAGAAAAAGTTCTTTCACTTATTAATATTCTAAGATAAAAATATATTTAATAACTAATATCCATCACGATTAGTGAATAATACTTGATGAATCATTCTAGAATATAGCATCGAAATCCTTTTACAATTATTATTATGATACCAATTACACATTATTCGTATTCATTAAAGTGTATTTAAAAATGTAAAAAAATAAATTGAAATAAATACGATTACTTTCTAATTGAAACAATGTATTACTTAATTATAAACACTACTGTATGATATTATTTAACAATATATTATTTTAATATTTATTTTAATATTTATTTTATTAAATATCCACATTTCTTGATAAATAAATGTTTGAACAAGTTAATCGAAATGTTTTAGTATATTATTTATTTGCTACAAACAATTTTAATTAACACAAATATATGCAGTTTATATTAAAAAAAATAACGGCATCAGTAAATTGCATTTTTAGGAATGTGTAATTAGTTGATGGTGTGTGGAAGTACTATTTTGAAAAATTGCTGTGAAAAATATAAAAAATAATGTGATTAAAATTGGATAAATAACAGCTTTAATGAGATATAACTATTAATTAAGTAATTTATTTAATTTCAATTAAGGAAATTAGTTCGTTTAAATATGCCCCAGAAAAATTTCGAATAATGTAATTCAATGACAAGCAATTTTTTAATAGTTAAATATTTGTAAATCCGAACAATTATATATATATATAATGATGAAGACGATGACACTTCACCNTAGATATATATATATATAAAACATGGTTTTTGTGTGCACCGGGAAAAGTCTGCCTCTGATATATATTTTTTAAAGTCGTTATAAGAAATCGTAGAGGACATAAATTAATATTTAAGCAAGGAAAAAAAAACACTCTTTCAAAATATGTTGAATCATTATATCATTATCCAAGAAAATGGGATGAAAAACATCAAAACCAGTTTGATTGCTTAATAGAACTTAGAGATATATCGAATAATTGTTCTTTAATGCTTCTAGGTTTCCTCAAGGAATCCAACAGGTTTCCATTTATTTTCCCTGCCTCACTAGTGATTTGTTAGATTTTGATAGAATTTTGTTCTTTATCGTTCAAATATTAGTTTGTCTCTTTATATATGTGTTTTTTTATTGATTTTATATTTACAAGTACATTTTTTTCCACTTGAACTTTTAATGGACATTTGTGCTGTATGATTTATTATAAATAAATAATATGCAAAATATAATATATAAATACTATTTAAAAAGAACAAAAAAATAAAGTTTTCAAAACTAAAGAAAAATAAAGAAATAAAAGCTGTAAATACTTCAAATACATAAGATACTTAAACTTTTCCTCAATCTCTAAATTATGTCAATTAACTATTTTTTTTTCCTAACATCAAATAAAATTGTAAATATTTGTTTTTTGCATAAATTTTTAATGCAAATCCTTAGAAATAGTACTTAGACTTTAGTCTTTAAATAACCGTGGGAACGCATTATTCTTTATATAGATTGAAAAAGTGTTCTTTAATGAAACGGATCATTACATGAAGTAATAAAAACGAAAGCAGTAACGTAGAAAGCAGTAATAAAGAAGTTTGACTGTAAGCAGTAGAGTAAGAAGTAAAATAGTAAACGATATTGGTGTAAGAAATATAATCGTAAGCAGTAGTCTAAAATGATTTTCCCAATCATTACTAAGATATAAATTTTCAGTGAAAAGAATTGCGATTTTTTATATACAATTTTGTTTAGTCTGTGCTTTCCAGTTGATTAGTTTGATGTTGTATGGTAATAACATTTCTGATAAAAAAAAAAGAAACAATATATCTAGTAATAAAACCAAAATGCACGATATTTAAACCATTCATTTAGTTATTTTTTTCATTTATAAGATAACGGTTTATCGGAAATTCTGGTTTTCAAAATTAAATTTCTTATCACTGCACATTTAATAAAAAATAGGAAACTAAAAAGTAAATTATAAACGATTTTTATGCCATGCTCTAAGATATCATGATAAAAAATATCAAATTTTACCACATTTACTAAATTTTTTCATATCTTATAAGACCATATTTCATTGCGAATTTTGCTAAAATCATTATCAAAATGCCCCTTTAAAAATTACCAAAATTTTTTTTGCTCCCATAGAGTCAGAAAGGGTAAATTTTTCTATATAAGTTTTGACCTCACTTTTTTTCCCAGTGTGTAAATGATGACCACTGTCTTCTTAAATATAATTTTTAAAAATGCGTAAGAATTAAATTGGCGACGAAATTGCGATTGGATAGGCAAATTGGAGATTTAAGCTAGACTCGAGCCTTATATTAATATTATTTTCGATAGCAATCGCGATATTTTTCCAATTTGGTTATTATAGTTTTCGATAGTTAGCCCTCACATTATGGATGGTTACTTTCCCCATAATAGGATTTTTCACACGCATTTTAAAATATTAATATCACGATGTTTAAAAATAATCTATGTTTCACTTTCTATAGCCCACCTTTGTTAAGTTTTGTTTTGATCAATGCTTTAAAAATATCTAATGGTGCTGTCTAAAATGGTAACAAGGTGTCAATAAGAAAAAAAAGACCCTGCCGGTGAATTATAAGGTTGAAAAGTGGGGGTGAAATTTTAAGTCTAGAAAATAGTAAGGGTGACTAGGGTGATTTCGAAAGGGTGAGGGGGTGTGTGCCTTTACTTACGTCCGGCCAGAGGGTGCAGGAGTGTAGGGTGCGTGGCGGCGGCAGGGGGTGACTGCTGTTTCGGTTTGCTAACCTTTGTGTTGCTCTTGGCAAACTCCAGGCGAATTGTCTGCGGCAAATCTGGATCAAAGCGAACTCCTTGCTGCAAAAGAAAAATAAAATATTTGAAAAAATTCCATTGACAGTCAAAAGAAAAATAGAATATGCAGTCTCAAAAGTTTCTCGCTGTAAGTCATATTGCGCGTTACATTGTTAAACCTTTGTTGCGTCTTGAAGTAAAATATTATTCAAATAAGTTGCTGCTTTAACACGGTACACCGTATTACTCTTGAAATCTTAAAATTAATTCTTTATTGAACAAGATTATTTATAATGCGGTTGAATTTGTGAGGAAAATGATCCATTTAACATTCAACAACTTATTAAGGTTCCATCATATTCACACGATATTATGACTTGATGTACTGAACCATAATATTGTTTAAATTCGATATAGTTTTGACACTGTGTTAAGTTTATGTTATTATCTAGAACATTAAATCGTCTTTGAACAAGATTACACTACAGGATAGTCCTATTTGTACGAAAAGATAATTCAATTAAAACCTTATTATGTTTCCAGGAAATTTTTAAGATATTATAAGTAAATATACAGACAATCAATTTTTTTCTTTTTTAAGATCTACCAAGTTTATAGAGAATTTTCTACTTCATACAAACTTCAATTTACTGTCTACATAAGCTCAAAAAGCACTTAAATTTTAATAAAGTTTAACGATAAAAAGATAAATCATAACAAATTAAAGTTAAAAAATAATTTTTCACAAACTCAGTAACCCTTGTAGATCACTACAGTTTTATAAAATATTTTCTAAGTTATGAAAGTTTTAACCGACTCGGAGACAAAAATTCTGATAAAATTTCTCTACAGTGATGACATTTCTAATAATAATGAAAAATATATAACTGTGTTGTGAAAACCAATTCGTATAAAAACCATAAACTAAACCAAAAACCGTACCGAAACCATAAACCGTATAAATTTGTAAAAAAAAAAAAAAAAAGAAAACCAAAGCATACGGTATTTAAACAATTCCTTTTGCAATTTTTTTCGTTCATATAGTAATGGGTTAACAATAATTCCGGTTTTCAAAGTTATAGTTATTACTACACAATTATTAAAAAATACAAAACTTTAAATCAAATTCAACCGAATTAATGGTTTTTACGCCATGCTCTCAGGTATCATGATAAAATTATCAAATTATACCATAATTACCGAATTTTATCACGCATTATAAAACCATGTTTTATTGTTAGTTTTACCAAAGTTATTACCAAAGAGTTTCGGTACTGAGCTCTTTTGGTACTCTTACATGGCCAGAAACACTGTAAATGTTTATCACTTTCTGGTAGTTTTGAATATACTCTTTTTTTAATCAGTTTACAACCTACGTAACTGCACAAAGCGTTTAACTTTTATTAAGGGGCAATCCATATGTAATGTTACGCATTTTTTAATATTTTTGAGCCCCTACTCTTTTTTGTAATAACATGTCATACTTCACTTTTACCCTATCCTTCTCTTGTCAGTTCTTTTGTGTCACATTAGATTGCATGTAACTGCAGTTCAGAAACAAGTGACTAAGTCTTCAGATCATATTTCAAATTTTATTTTTAAACTTTTGCCTACATCCTCTGAAATAAAACTGCCACTTTTGCCGATTCAGTAATCATTGAGACTGTATTTCGTTACTTTTGAGAATTATTTTGTCACGAAATGGGAAGTCTAAAATATATCATGAACATTTCTCCTCTGTTAAAAACAGCATCGTAGTTCATTGTGGGAGAGTGTTAACGAGAACGAAACTAGGATTGAGACAAGAGGATCGAAAATAAAGAGACAAAATGAGCAGTAGGGTGATCAAGGAGTTGACCTTGTACCAGAAGGATCCTAGTTCGAACCCCACTACGGACATGGATGTAATTTATCTTTCTGTTCTGATGAAATTTTTCTTTCTTGCGCTGTTAAAATGACTGTATGGTGCCCACGTTAAAGTGAGTATTAAAAAAGTTAGATACATTAAGCACTACGATTTTTTTCGGAGGGGAGGGGGGGGCTGAATTGAATGACGAAATATTTTATTTACTGTTGACGAAATTTGTATACTCTAAAAAGTGACGATAGTTATTTAGTCACTTTGACGAAATGTCCGCTTGGAGCATATGCCAGAAACGTCAAATTTTACGAACTCAAATTTTACGAAAGAAATTTCGTAAAATTTGAGTATTTTTACAGTGTATTTGTTTTAATGATGTTTGCGAGTATAACAATAAAAATTATTTTGAGGAAAAAAATATTTAATCTGCTGATTTCAAACAATTTTTATTTAACCTATATGTGGGGTGGCATATTTCTGTTACCCCCCTCCTTCCCCCACGAACTGTCACAACTTCACAAATTGCCTTCCATCATTTACGATTGGCCTCAAAAAGCAAAACACAAGAAATTAAAGACAAAAATTTAAAACAATTTAATTCAAAAAAAATAATCATTAGATATGTTTCACTGTATAAATTCTACAACTCAACAAGCATATGAAAATGATTAAGCTGTTTTGTAAATACATCAGTAAGCACCATAAGCAATATAAACTAGTGATGAATTGTGTTTTCTTATCTGATTATTTATTCTGTTTGATTTAGAACGTTTCAACACACGCATACGATAAACTCCAAACTGTACATTGCATCAAAAATTCAAAATGATTCACCTCAAATTCGATTCAGTAATTTAAAAAACATTTGCTGAGTCACAGCGTTTAGTTACAAAACATGATGCACATGCAGAATTTAACAACCCCATTCTTTAATGATTCATATAATAACTCCTGTTCCCATATTACATCTTGATAATCCAAATCGAATGTCATTTTATATAATTAACTGTTTTGATAAACACTGCGCGAAATAATTCCGACGACGTACAAACTACTGTCAAGAGTTTTCAAACTGAAGTGTAATTCATCATTAATTAAAATTGTCCGAATATTCGAAATCTTTCCGTTGGCGCTATAATAGGGCAGGGAATACTTCTGCATGGAAAATGTTCAGTGTTTGAGCGCCAAAAGTGAGACCTCCTTCGTTGAATATGGTCCATAATCCGCCAAAATTAATAGCGATTAATTGCAAGTCCAGACTTTTGACACCCAAACTTAGGCTCGCTTAATTGATTAATGGGGACGAAAATTTAACGGCGCAAGAGATAGCTGTGCTTCATCGTTGTAATTTTTTGTTACCCGTTACCTTTTCTGAAGAGCTTCGGTGAATTTATCAATTTTTCAAAAATATTGAGTCTTGGGAAACAATTTATCATTTATATTTGGACATGCATATAGAGTGGGGAAAGATGTAAAAAAAATCGGTAATAGCCTCAGAGCAATTAGAAAGTTCTTTTTCATCCGAAGTGAAATTTCTGGCGAAAATTGATTCATTGTTACCGCTCTGACGGAGAAAATTAGGAATTGGTTTGATAATGTTTAATAATTAGGAGAAAAGTAGGTAATGAAATAAGTAAAAATCATTAAAACATTTTTTAATGCGGTTACATGCATCCAAAAGGAATTTACTTTTCATATTTATATCAGCTATTACATTATTATTTGAATTAATATCACCATATCTTTTAAAATAAAACACAAATTATTAACATTAATTTATTTCTTATATATATTTGAAAATAATAATTTTTTTCTAATACGGAGAAGAAGTTTCTTAATAACATCTTTATATTAAAGACTAGTTTACGGAAAAAAAATTAAATAAATATTAAATCTTCAAATAGATATAATATTTAATCACTTATTTTACTGGAGGCAATTCATAAATAGTGTATCTCTTAAGAGTCATAATAGTACATCTCTGAATTCATAAATAGTGCATATCTAACAAACGTAATAGTACACCTCACATTTTACTGGTTGCAATTCATATATAGTATATCTCCTAGGAGACATAAAAATACATTTCCTATTTTACTAATGACAGTTCATTAATAGTGGAAACGCAATAGTACATCTTCTCATTATTAAAGACAATTCATAAATAGTGCGTCTCCTAAGAGACAAATGAGTACATTTCCTATTTTATTGTATGAGATTTATATATAGTGTGTTTCTGAGATGAACAATAGTACATTACCTTTTTTACTGCACACAATCCATAAATAGTACATAACTAAGAGATTTAATAGTATAATCTCCTATTTTACAGAAGGCAATTCCCAAATACTACAACTTATAACATACATAAAAGTTCATCTAAGTTTTAAAAAAATTACTTAAATAAGAAGTAAAATTAAATTTTTTTAAAAATAAGAAACCTCTTTATGCATCGAATGCTATAGTAAAATCTTCAAAATAATAATAATAATGATAAAAATGGAAAGTACGAAATAACTTTTGTATGACAGATTTATACTTTTTCGGACTAATTAAATGTAATCAGCTGACGAAATAATTATGCTATGTAACTTGCTTCTTTGATTAGTATATGCTAGTTATATATCTAACAAAATATTGCACATTTATCGTGAACCAATGCTTAGTAGTTTACATCTCCCAAAGCTATGCGAAATTTATATATTTCCCTAAGCCTATTTGTTACAAAAGTGAACGCATAATACTAAATGTTCGTACAACAATTTGTAATTTGTATTTTCCTAATTCTTAATTATAAAAAAAAATGTTTAATTTTTATGTAGTTTAAAGTTTATGTTAATTATATTAGCTGTTGGTGGAAAAATAAAAATAACTTGGCGTTTAATAAATGATATTATTCGAATTGAGATAAACGTTTATACATTTTTATGAATCATGTTAACTCAGAGAAGAAATTTTCAGAAATAAACTAAATGGTACCATAGTTATAAGATTTGAGTACATAAGATCTTAATAAGAAAAATACAAAAAGAAAATATTTATTATAAAAGATATCTACTTGCTAATGTAAACAAACGATTTAATAATATAAGAACAAACTTAAAAAAATAAAAATCTAATAAAAATGTTTCAGCTTATGTTCTTAAATTTTTGAAATTGATTTGTAACCATTCATGTTATTCCTAGTAACAATATTATTATG